ACAGGACAGCGACTCAGAATCTGAGGATGAAGGACCAACAGCAAGAGACCTGCTAGTGCAATATGCCACAGGGAAGAAAAGCTCCAAACACAAGAAAAGGTTGGAAAAGGCTATGAAAGTGCCCAAGAAACAAAAAAAGAAGAAAAAACCAGAGGTCTTTAACTTTTCAGCTATTCAGTTGAGTCATGATCCCCAAGATTTTGCAGAAAAACTACTAAAGCAGTTAGAGAGCTCTACGGAGAGGTTTGAGGTGAAAATGATGCTCATGAACTTCATCTCCAGATTGGTGGGAATTCACGAGCTTTTTCTCTTTAACTTCTATCCATTTGTGCAAAGGTTTCTGCAGCGCCACTAAAGAGAAGTAACAAAGATCCTTCTGTTTGCTGCCCAAGCATCTCATCACTTAGTACCCCCAGAGATCATTCAGTCAGTGCTCATGACTGTGGCCAATAATTTTGTCACCGACAAGAACTCTGGGGAGGTCATGACAGTAGGAATCAATGCTATAAAAGACATAACAGCTCGATGTCCTCTAGCCATGACTGAAGAACTTCTCCAAGACCTGGCTCAGTATAAAACACATAGAGATAAGAATGTGATGATGTCTGCTAGAACTTTGATTCAGCTCTTCTGAACACTGAATCCTAAGATGTTGCAGAAGAAATTCTGGGATAAGCCTACAGAGGCCTCCATAGAAGCAAGAGTGCAAGAATATGGAGAATTGGATGCTAAAGGTTACATTCCAGGAGCAGAAGTTCTAGAAGGTGAAAAAGAAGAGGATGCTGAAAACGATGAAGATGGGTGGGAAAGTACCAGTCTCAGTGAGGAGGCAGATGCCGATGGTGAGTGGGTTGATGTGCACCGCTCTTCTGATGAAGAACAGCAAGAAATATCCAAGAAGCTCAACAGCATGCCCATGGAGGAGCGGAAAGCCAAAGCTGCAGCCATTAGCATGAGCCGAGTTTTAACTCAGGAAGACTTCCAGAAAATCCGCATGGCGCAAATGAGGAAAGAACTCGACGCTGCCCCAGGGAAAGCCCAAAAGAGGAAATATATTGAAATTGATAGTGATGAGGAGCCCAGGGGTGAGTTACTTTCTCTTCGGGACATTGAACACCTTCATAAGAAGCCAAAGTCTGACAAGGAGATAAGACTAGCAACGGCAATGGCTGGAAAGACAGACCGAAAAGAATTTGTGAGGAAGAAAACGAAAATGAACCCATTTTCCAGTTCCACAATAAAGAGAAGAAAAAACAGAAGAACTTTATGATGACGTGATATAACCATAATGTCCGGTCAAAAAACAAGTGTTCCTTCCGAGAAAAGCAGCTGGCACTACGAGATGCACTTTTGAAAAAGAGAAAAAGAATGAAGTAATCTCCAAGCAAATTTTCCATTCCAAGAATGCTAAATTTGTATCATTATTATGAAAATTAGTTAATCAAAAATGTTTATTTACATTAAAAAGTCCTGAAGCACTGCATTGTGAAAAACATAGTAAATTTGGTAGCAATTTAGTGTTTTTGTTTTGGAGATGGGTAATGGTGGGAATGTTTGAAATGTAATCAGTAGTGGTGTTGTAAAATCATTTTCTTTTTTTTTAAAGATTTTATTTATTTATTTGAGAGAGAGAGAATGAGAGACAGAGAGCACAAGAGGGAAGAGGGTCAGAGGGAGAAGCAGACCCCCAGCTGAGCAGGGAGACTGATGTGGGACTCGATCCCAGAACTCCAGGATCATGACCTGAGCCAAATCGCTCAACCAACTGAGCCACCCTGGCGCCCTGTAAAATCATTTTCATTTAGCATTCATGCAAAAAAAAAAAAATGTTGGGTGCCTACTAATTGTCACTGTAGATATAAAAATGAATGAGCCATAACCCCTCACAGAAGGCATTCACAGCCTATTTGGGAAATAGGAGGGGGCAGATGTGTGAGAGATAGGTCTGTGCTTCTCTGGGGTCATAGAGACCTCTGCAGGGCATGGGAGTTAAACCTTTTTTCCTAAAACAGGACAATGTTACAAGAGTAAGAGATTCTTACTTGTATATAGGCTTACCTGCTGAAAACAGATCCCTGCTGTACAGATTTTCAGTAGCCAATTAGGTCTTTTAGTCCATCCAAAAAATGTAAGTATTTTTTTGAATGCCAGGTACAGGCTTTTTGGGTAAGACCTCGCTTTTTAAATTGCCTTAAGTATAAATAGTAATCGTGGAGTGTCTTTAGTTCGTCATTTGGGCTGCCATAGAGGAAAAAGAAATCAGATTGGTTTCCTCAGCCTGCCTTCATGCTGTGGTATTTTCAGGCCACTGTTTGCTTTGTCTCAATAAAAGGTTCCTAATGTCAAAAAAACACAAAAAACAAAAAACTGATGATGTATTGTATGGTGACTAACATAACATAATAAAATTAAAGAAAAAAAGAAAGGGGCTAAGGTGGAAGTAGGAATAAATAGTCAGAAGGCTTTTGCAATTTGTAGGTGAGAGAAACTAGTGGACCAGGGTGGTGGAGGTGATGAAGAGTAGATGGGTTTTGAAAGTAGAAGCAGGTTTTGTTGATGAATTAAGTTAAAAATAAATAAATAAATAAATAAATAAATAAATAAATAAATAAATAGAAAAGGCCCTATAGTGGGAAATTTAAATAGACATTTTAACTCGTGGGACAAAGAAGAAATCATGATGAACATTTAAAAGGGAAATACTGTATTTAGAATCAAAGCAAAATGTATGAGATGCAGCTAAAGTGTACTTGAAGGAAATGTATAACCTTCAATACTTAAATTGCAAAAGAGGAGAGGCTAAAAATTAATGTGATAAGCTTCCAATTTGAAAGGTTAGGAAAATAATAGCAAAATGAACTCAAAGAATTAAAATGAAGGAAATAGGAATTACAAGAACAGAAATTGATACAATATGTGATACATACAAAACAGAATCAACAAAGTCAAAAATTGATTGTTTTGAAAACATTAATAAAATGGATATACCTGATTACCCTGATTAAGAAAGAAATAGTAAAGGTAAATATTATTAAAAATAAAGGAAATATACAAATAAAGATACTGAGAGATTAAGAAGACAATAAGGATAAGTAACTTTATGCTAATAAATATTATAACTTAGATAAATAGAATGGTCAAGTTTGCACACTTAAGTAACTTAGAATGGAATCAAGAAGATTCATTATGGAATGAATCTTCCATAATGAATCCAATAATCATAGAAGAAATAGAATCAACAGTTAAAATCTCCCCACAAAGAGAACACCAATGCCAAATAGTTTTATTGGCAAATTCTGCCAAACATATAAGAAGCAAGTATTTCAGAATACAAAAAAGAAGGAACAGTTTCTAACTCATTTCATGAGGCTGGGATAAACTTAATACCAAACCTTGACAAGGTTCATATAAGAAAATTGCACGTTAATTTCATTTATGAACATACATGCAAAAATACTAAAGAAAATATTAGCAAATTGAATTCAGCAATCTATAAAAAAGATAATACAGTGTGACCCATTTGGATTCGTCCAAGAATGCAATATTAATTTAACATCTTAAAAAAACCAATTAATGTAATTATCACATAGACGGTGAAAGGATAAATAATTATATGAGCACATATAATTGCAGAAAATAGAGCCTTATGTGATTCAACTGACATTCAAGAAAAAAAGTCTTAAAAAAATAAGATTGATAGGAAGCTCTGCAGAGCCTTTATATCCCACACAGACTGTTAGAAAACTAAGCAAGCTGATTCATTAATTGTATGTGAAATATCAAAGGGCTAACAAGAGCCAATTTCCAAAGAAGAATAACGAGGTGGGGAGAATTGCCGTATCAAATATCAAAACCTGTTAGATATAAAGGTATTGTAATCAAGGCAGTATGGTACTGTACAGGGTAGGAAAATCAACAAATGAAGAGAATAGAACACAAAGAAACAGATGCACACTTATACGGAATTGTGATATTTTACAGGATGGTCATTGCAGATTAGTGGGGGATTAACTGCTGCCAGGACAATTGTTTTTGCAGATAGAAAAAAATGAAATAATTGAGACCTTGCCTAACAACATCGTCTCTGATCATCTGTTCCCCCATTTACGCTTCTTCCACAAATGTTTTATTTTTGCAACTGGCCATACCATCCACCCAGTTGCTCAAACTACAAACCTAGGAGCAATCAATCCTTCCTTCTCTTTATCTCCCAGACATCATGTTCTGGTAATCCTTGGACATACACTCTGCCCTGTCCTTTTGCCCTTCCTTTACTGCCCTAACTCTTACTGAGGCTTCAGCTCTGCTACACGGCATTTCTAAGTTAAGTTCCCCTCCTGTGTCGTCCCATCACACCCAGGACTCTGTTGCTATTACGCTTATACTATTGTAATTGTCCGTTTATTTCTAGGTAAGTTTCTGAAGATCTGCTAGAAATTCCTTGTGGAAGAGTATTCTGTCTTGTTCAGTTTTATTTCCAGTGCCTACCCCTATGCCTGGAATATAGTAAACCATCAATCAATATTTAGAAAATGCATGAATTAATAAATAAATGAATGAAAGATACACAGTAAGTGAGTTCTGCAACTGAAACATAGAAATTGGTCTAAGTTCTTTTGTCATCTCATTCTGGTTTTTGGAGAGTTCCTCAAATGTATTCTTCTTTGCCAAATAGATCTAGTTTAAGATAATACTACTTCAGGCTATGATAAAACCACTTTTCATACATTCTTCACATTGATTAAAGATACTTCACACACAAGCAAAAAACATCCCAAGCTAATTCAGTTTTATCTTTTTAGAATGATGATTCTCTGAGAGGGACTAAGTCTTCTATGTTGTAACACAACACAGTGTGTCTTAAAATTTTTCCTTTTTAATTAAATGAAACATCAATTAGAATTGTCTGGAACATCTTAGATGCCCAATACATTTTTTTGATGTATGAATGAAAAATTAAAGGTATAAGTTGTGTGTTTAATATTTTTTTATATCTAGAGATGACTCTTCTTAGTTATCATCACATTCTTTGTCATTTCTTTCTGAAGGAGTTTGATTGGCCAATAGAAGGACTGCTTATTCCAAACAGTCCTCCCATGAAGAAATTCATCTGTAAGACCCCGGAGCTGTGTGTTCCTGTGAGGCTCAGAGTTCTGCGGAATGGAGATAAGAATAAAAATAGAACCTTTGTTATAATTGGTCCAGATATCTCACCTGGACGGAAAATGCAGTAAGAACAGTTTGCTCATACTTCTCGTTTCTAATTTCTGCAAATTTTTGTCTTCATTAAGGATGTGTTTCTGGGACAATTCTGTGTTTATTTTTAAAAAGGGCTCTTGAGATGCCTGGGTGGCTCCATTGGTTGAGCGACTCTCAATTTTGGCTCGGGTCATGACCTCAGGGTTGTAAGGTCATGGAATGAGCCCTGCCTCAAGCTCTGTGCTCAGGGGGGAGTCTGCTTGAGATTCTCTCTCTCTCCCTCTCCCTTTGCCCCTCCCTCTTCTCTCTCTCTCTCTCAAATAAATAAATAAATCTTTAAAATAAATAAATTAATTAATAAATAAAAAGGGCTCCCATGTTGATATTTGGAGATAAAAATAGAGACTGAGATTTAATTAAAACTTGTCAGGAACTTTTCACTCTTCTGATTGAGGCTAAGCACGGGAGACAATAATGAGTTAGAAATGGGTATTTCTGATCAAAAAAAGTTCTGAGATCAATGTCCATTTTGAATTAGCATTTTTGTTTAAGTTTTATTAATGTGTTTCAAAATAACTGAGTTCATAAATTGCTTCTTACGTATACTTGTATAAGTCCTTATTTAAATTATTATTGTACATTATTATTTACATGAAGCTCTTTGGCATATTTAACAAGCAAATATAGTTCTCAAGATATAACTTCATATAATTTATATCTCTGCCTTTGGAATAACATTTTTAAAAGCTTATCATTCTAGAAAAACATCGATCTGCACTTTAGCTTATGTTATAAGATTGGAATAAAATCTTCCCATACAACCAATATTTCTCCAACATTAGAGAAAAATCACTTGCTGTATTTTCATTACGTTTTATGACAAAAGAAATCATAGACCAGTGCAAAGCTGTAATGTAAAGAATGAGTTAAATATATTGTTTCTCATATTATTAGCAGTGCTGTTATCTTCTGACCTTTCTTTTGAGATGTTTAGAATATTTGAGGCTGCTGATAATCGTTTAATATTACTTTCTTCACATTGATTAAATATACTTCATACATCGCTGAACAATGAGTAACATTCAGATCGGCTGTCCACTGAGCTGCCTGTAAAGATGATAAAGTAAAAAATTAATCTTCAAAGTAAAGTCAAGCCTGAAATTGAAATCTTTGACGCATACATTTCATAATTAGCTCATTCTGCTAGATGTAAAATGTGAGGGTAATGCCCTTAAAGTAGCATATGACTTTTTTTAACATCCAAAGTTAACAAATAATTTTTGTTCCTTCCTACATTTATTTTTTTACACTATGTCTTTCCCTGGGGCTCAAAATTATATACAGATTTTATCTTCCCACATTAATGTTTTAAAATGCATAGTTCAGTCAGGTAATCCAAACATAATTGAGAGATTTGTTAATTTGGACAACTATTCCAGCAGAAAGTATGTGAAACCCTCTGTTATGTTCATGGAATGGTGTGTCCTAATTAATCAAGTATTCACTTTGTTCACTACATGAATTAATTATTCCCCCAAAATTAAAGTACACTGGCATACACTTGACATTAAACTCTTCTAAATATACATTAATTTTTCTTGGTCATTTCAGAAAATTTCTACAGGATCATCAATAGCATTGTTTGCCCCAGAGCTGTATGTAAATACTGGTTAACAGAAGGTTCAAATGGAAAGAATTTTGGCTAATATTACTGAGCAGCTACATTGCCCAGTTCCAGAGGACACTTTTCACATTGTATTCTATACAAACGTATCCCAGAGTTGTGCAAAGTAGGAGTCCTGCTATGCTACTTTTCATATATCCAAGCTAAATATTTTCTGTCAGAAGAAATAAATGCTAATGACATGTAGGCGTACATTACTTGTATTACCTTGAAACTTATTTGTAAGAAGAAAGATAGTTGGACTATTTTGTGTCTTTACAAGTAAAATCAAGCTAGAATGATGAAATATAGACCCATTTTAACCAAATCCTATCCTGGCAACATGCTGTCCTTTAGTTACTTAATAATTCATTCTAGACAGTTTTGAGGGAAATTTGTTGTTGCTGGTCCCTTTATCTACAAAGCCAACGGAAAATCAAATATCATTTGTTTGTGATTTAATCGATCATTACTCTTGGTGAGTAATAAGATCTTGTCAGTTAGTCTTGAGGAGTGGCTGTCAAAATTCAAATAAATTAAAACCATTGTGATTTCCAGGTGAATTTCTTTTCTCAGAATAGCAAGTTAAACAAGGAGAATTGTATAAGTGTTAGTTTAAGGAATTCTAAGAGGAAAGGCTCAATTTGAAGCTACGTGATAAACTTTATATTTTTAGATAATTTTAATGAGTAAGTTATTAGTAAGTTATGATCTCTGGACTCACTCAAGCACCTTAATATAGCTTTTAAGGCCCTTTGTGAATTGTTCCTGCATATTTTTCTAGCTCTATCTCTTATCAACACTCTCTCCAATTCTCACTCTTAAACCCCTGCCACTCCCCAACACCTTCCATCTGCCTTAAAATAATAAAGGTGTTCTGAGAATGAATTTGGCCTTCGTTTCTAGATGCTGACCCTGAACTTGACACTTCCTTACCTACCCCTGAATTAGCTGTAGCTTCTGTGTTCTCCATTGCTCTGATTGCTGTGGGCTTTTCCCCAGCATAACTCCTACTGCTCTGTGTTGTGATTATCTGCTTATGCTTCCATCCATGAGACAGAGAACAGGGATGATGTGTTATTCATCCATATATGTGCTTTCTGCTATGGTCTGGTCATGGGACAGTGTGTCCTCGTTAATCAAGTACTAAGCCATTTTATTTACCACAGGATATAGGGCCAACAATAGGCCCTAAATTAGTGCTTATTGAATTCATTCATTCATTCATTTATCTATTTATTTATTTATGATTAACTACACTTGATTACCATATTTTGTGAATGAATAACTGTATTTGACCACTATTTCTTTCATTCAATAAAATATAGAGATTCTAAAAATATACCAGATAGTTTTCTAACTTGAAAATTTGAACCAATACATATTCCAATTAAGCATTTTTTTCTATGTCTATCATTAATCACTTTCCAGTTTAAAAATATTTAGGTTTGGATTGATAACTTAATAATATATGAATAAACATATGAATATGAACTATATATGAACATCACAGGCAAAACGAATGTAATCTCTGTGTTTTCTTTAAAACTGATAAATTCAGGGTGCCTGGGTGACTCAGATGGTTAAGCGTCTGCCTTCGGCTCAGGTCATGATCCCAGGGTCCTGGGATTGAGTCTCGCGTCGGGCTCCCTGCTCCTTGGGAGCCTGCTTCTCCCTCTGCCTCTCTCTCTCTCTCTCTCTGTCTTTCATGAATAAATAAATAAAATCTTTAAAAAAAAATAAAATAAAACTGATAAATTCACAGCTCAAAGTGTCCAGCATTATTAGAAGAGGATTAAAATACTGAAAATTCATTTTCTTATATAAATTGTTCATAGTATAAATGTTTAAAAACTTAATTTAATTGCGATAGTTTTTTAAATCCTTCTTTTAAACTTTGAAAAAAATTTTTTTAAAAGATTTATTTATTCATTTATTTAAGAGAGAGGGAGGAGAGTGGGGAGAGGGGCAGAGGGGAAGGGAGTGAGAGAATCCCAAGCCGACTCTGGGCTGAGCGTGGAGACCTACTCGGGGCTCGGTCTCAGGATACTGAGATCACCACCTCAGCCAAAATCAAGAGCTGGACGCTTAACTGCCTGGGCCACCCAGGTGCCCCTGAAATCTTCTTCTTCTTCTTCTTTTTTTTTTTAAGAAGGCATATTATTTTAGGACAAATTATGATAAATTAAAACCTCATGATTTTTTCACATATTTAAAGATGAAAGGTAATTGATAACATATACTGACATATCGGTCAAATCTTGGATCATTTGTTTCAGAAATGTTGACGTTGAAAGGAAAAAGAATGTGAAAAACCACGTTACTAAATATTTTGAAACAGAAACAATCCAGACCGAATTTCACCAACTTTTGGAGAGGTAAATACTTAACTATCCTAAATGCAAAGGCATTTTCCATTCTAGAGCCTGAATAATTATGTTTAACACATAATACAAAATATGTATGTATCTGCATAAGAAGGCTGTTGTTAATACAATGATTCTGGAGTTTTTAATCTGTGAAATATATAAACTCTGTGAGTTTATGATACCAGTGCTAATTAATAAATTTTTGCCCCAAATGTCAAGGGCTGGCAATTTCCCCTCGCTTCTGAACTACCAACTCTGTAAATATAAATTATTCCCACTTAAAAAAATATTTCACAATTGTACAGCACTTTTCTTTGGTTTACATTTGTTTGAATTGGAATCAGTAGTTATCTACTTTAAACCAAATTTTAAATGTCATCAACCCATATCATATTTGTGAAATATGTTGTAATTTTCTTTTGATTAATATTTTCCTACCAAAATAAGAATTATTCCCATAGAATTTGATAACTGCTTAAAGGTAGAGCACCAGGTATCAACATTTTTACAAAATATGTCTTGTTGAATATGAGGGGGCAATCTTACAAAATGTAAGGAAAATTATGCTAATTTTTATTTAATAAGTCACTCCAGATGGCTTTGATGGTCTTTTCTTGGTGGTGGTGGTGGTTCTTCCACCTCCAAAGCCAAAGGAAGTTCTAGTGGTATAATAAGCATTATTTTTAAATAGTAAATATGGAAATTTTTTGTTGATACTTAAAGTTGCAGGCAACATGGAGTATTGGAAATACCATTGAATTAAGAGTCGAGGGGATTGATTTTAACCCCAGGTTTGCCATTAACTAATTGGAAAACTTCAGCAAAGCACTCCCCTTCTCTGAGTCCCAGTTCCTCTTTGTAAAAGAGAATTGGTTGAAGAGCTAAGAGGAAAGCACGAAAGAATTTGATTCTTTTCAATATCTGTTGTATTCATGTCATGTGCATCAACTGGTGTTGGATATTCTGCTGGAGATTAAAAATGGGGGGGGGGAAGACATTCCATGCTCTCAGGAAACTCCTAACTTGTTGGGAAGACAGTTTGCTCAGTAAAACAGTTAGAAAACCACAGAAGGCAGTATTTAATTGTGCAGAAGTAAAAATAATCAAGGGGTCATTTTATAGAGGACCAGGAAGGAGGAAGAACCTGGTGAAGGGCAGCTGTTAGGGAAGGCCTCATGGAGAAGAGAGAAAATGAGAGAGATCTAAAAAGACAGAGATACAAAGCAAGAAGATAAAGAAAAGAAGAAAGCATGTATCCATAGCTTCTGTGCATTTTCCCACTGTTCTGAAATAACTGGAAGGATGTGGTGGGGCTCCTGGGATGGGTGTCCTTGCGAGTGATGGAGAAAGGAAGTCCCCACTCTTACAGACCTGTAGCCATCTGCAGACCTGGGAGACGCACTTGCTTCCTTTATCCCAGGGCATCCTGGATTATACTGAAATACAGCCCTCAAGGTACCAACTCCACCTGCCACTCCTCTTCCATTCTAGTCCTCACAGAGCACAGAGATCAGACTCTACTTTTCTGGACTCCCTGTAAATCTGAGTAGGCCATGTGGTTGCCAGTCCTAACTCCCAGTGTGCAAGTCAGAGGACCTTATTTCTAGGACCTTTGCTTCCACGTAATGGAGAAATCCTGGACCACTTGCTCAGCACCTCACTCAGTCCCCTCACTCTGTAGATCAACTATCTCATTATTCTATGATGATGGCCTCTTGGGGGGCCATACAATGTTGTGAAGGACTCAGATTTAGGTTTGAATTTCAGCTCTCCTACTTGGTAGCTATGCAATCTTGGGCAAGGAAATTAACCTTCAGGCTCAGTTTCCTCATCAGTAAAATGGGCCTCAGAAATGATGTGAGAATTAAGTGAGAGCAGCCATGAAATGCTTGCAGTGCTTGATCCATTTTGATAATGTGTTGCTAACTGTTTATGTGCCAGGCGCTGTACAGATATCCACACATTTAATCTGTAAAATATCACTGTGAGATAAATACTACTATATCTGTCTTTTACTGATAGGGCAAATGAGGCTCGGAGAAATTAAGGGACTTTTTCAAGGTTACACAACCAGAACAGGAAGGCTAGAATTTGAGCCCAGGCAATTTGACTCCGGAGTCCACATTCCTCCTTAGGTACTTAACAGCTAATTCTGTCTCCATTTATGTTAACTGGCATGTGAACAAGTTGGAGGAATTAAATAGGAAAAAGCTTATCCCAATCCTCTCTAGCCCACCTACATGGGCCAATTAAATTCAGTACTATTAAAACTAGGGTTTCAAAAAAAGAAAGGAGATTTACCAGCCACCCATTCCTTCTATTCTCCCACTCATTGTCCTAAAACAGGATATTCCCATAGTCCAAATGTTCTCCAGGAAAATGTGAGTAGGAGCCGATATGATAATGGTAATTCTTCTTAGGTCATGCTATAACTGCCTGGACCCACAAAGATATCCATTTAGGGAAAGTAGAAGGAATCAGGTTGGGTCTTTGGGCAGCAAAGAAAGAGAATCAGGCACATCTTGTGGCTGGGGGCTCCATTTTCTTATAGTTCCTTCCCACTCCCTTCCCACCAACTCCTTTGGTCCACCAGCTGCTAGAGCTATGACACAAGAGGCAGAGGCTTAGTTCCCATTGCCTTATGTCCTTCTAAGACCTCTCAGAGAAATGGAGGGCCTAAGTATCTGCTCAATTGCTTTATCCCATCTAAGGAAATAAAATTGAGAAATATTCTTCATACAGTTTAGTCTTCCTGATCAGCATAAAGTCACTTCTAATTCACTTAGGATAGACAGTACATTCTAATGTAAAATATATTTAGCAAGAATCCTTTACTTTCCTTGTTCCAAAGGCGGGATCATCTCAACAATCTTCTCAACAGCCCCATCACATTCCGTTACCCCCTCCCTCCTCTTCCCCCACCACTTAGCCTCCTTGCCACTCTCCTGAACGGGCTGTGTAACTTGCAGCCTCTCCCGCTTTAGTGCATCTTCCACCTGTCAGACGACTAACTCTCTAAAGAGCGTAGCTGAGAACACCACACCTCTACTCTCCTACCTTCAGTGACTTCCTGCTGTTTATGGGGTAGAGGCCAAGTTTCTTAGCCTGGTATCTTAAGTGCTTTCCATGGGTTCCTGTCTTCTTTTCCAGCTTCATCTGGCTCCTGCTCCCATCCATACACTAGGGTCCAGCCACACAAGACTTCTCTAGGTCCTAATCCTTCTCGACCAACTCCTATTCATCTGCAAAGGCCCAACCCAAATGTCATTTCCTTCGATCAGGGTTCCCTGGAGGAATTCATTGTTTTGTTTTTCCTGTGTTCTCACAGCACCCTGACCATGTGCCTATGACAGCACCCACTCCTGCATATTTTTTTATTATGTTATGTTAATCACCATACATTACATCATTAGTTTTTGATGTAGTGTTCCATGATTCATTGTTTGCATATAACACCCAGTGTTCCATTCAGTACGTGCCCTCTTTAATACCCATCACCTGGCTAACCCATCCCTTCACCCCCCTCCCCTCTAGAACCCTCAGTTTGTTTCTTAGAGTCCATTGTCTCTCATGGTTCATCTCCCCCTCCCATTCCCCCCCTTCATTTTTCCCTTCCTGCTATCTTCTTCTTTTACATCATTAGTTTTTGATGTAGTGTTCCATGATTCATTGTTTGTGTATCACTCCTGCTTATTATACTTCAGTTGCTGACCTGTCTCTCTCCTGATGAGAGAAGGAGCTCCTCAGGGAACAAGAAAACAGTATCATTCATTTTGATATCCACAGGGCAGGCCAAATGCTTGTTTGGGGCCTGGGGGTGGAAATCACTGTTGAGTGGTTAACCAGGCTAAAGATTCCTGTTTGAAAGGGAGTTTAAGGGCTATAGAGATCACTACTAGTGGAGGGAGATGAGAAACTGCTTGGTGATGGATACGACTCCGGGGAGAGAATAGAACATTAACAGAAAAAGCCAAGGAAAGTATTTTAGGTAGAAGGAAGAGCATGAGTGAAGGCACACAATTAGAAAGTGTGCAGCATATTGAAGAATGAAAAATCAATAATGATATGCCTATTTATTTGTTGATCAGGCCTGGCACTGTGCTAAGCACTTTTCAAAATCAGCCTTTAATCCTCACTAAAACGCTGGAAGATACGAAACTGAGGCTTAGAGGAGTTAATTTGCCCAAGTCCCACAGCTTGGATAGGGGGAATGAGACTCCAAAGCGGACTGATGGGCTCCAGGGCCTGCCTCTGGGTGGTCTCACAGGTCTGCAGCAGGAGTGGGTGTCAATGGTCCAGATCCTTGATTTCTCTTATTTTCTCTCTTCTCTGCTGGAAGACTTCTATCTACAAGCTCAGTTTTTGTGTCTCTTATTACAGGTGCACTGAAATTTTAAATTTACCTTCTGCAGCTCGGAGATTGTTCAATGAAAAGGGAAAGGAGATCTTTGCCCTAAAAGACCTTCAAAGAGATGAACTGGTAAAGACATGAATGTGAAACTGGAAATAGTATATGCATACAACTAAAAGACAAATGTTTTAAAATACAAGACGTCAAGCACTAACTGCTTCCCCCTTACTTTCTCTCAGCCTTACTCAGCAGCCCTCAGAAAATCATACTAATAGCTAGCTGTTGAGAGCTACTGTCAGGCATGATTTCCAGGGCTTTCTAAGAATGAACTCATTTAAGGATCAGCATGACCCTATGAGATGGATGCTCTCAATGTCCCCACTTTAGAAATGAGGGTGGAAACTAGACAAGACCAGATTATTAACCACCTGTGATTTCTGTCTCTTACTCTGAGGGAGGTAGATATCTCCTCTTTTTGAGGCTTTCAAAAAGTAGTTATTTAGTGATTTCTTACTAAATGAAAAATTCACTCTTTCAGAAAAAAAATTAAATCTAGTGTTTCACACAGACTATTTGGGTGGCTAGAGATGACTGAGAAGAAGGACTTTTAGCAGCCAGCCCTTTCTCCCATTTATGGAATTTGAGGCATCAGCTCGAAAAGAAAACCTGCTTGACCAAATGCCTGAAATTCTTTGAACAGAGAGCTGAGCTCGCATCGTATCAGAACTCAACTCGTATCAGAACTCAACTCAGGCTCTGAATGTAAAGACCCCTTGAGCGAGTCTTAAACCACAGTACTGATGACTAAGAGCAGCAGCAGCGTGGCAGAGGGGAAGGTCTGTGTTGTTGGAGTCGGGGGATCTCTTTGGAATTCTAACACTATCACTTCCAAGGTTTTAGTTGGTTGGTCTTTAATTTTTTTTCTTTGCTTTTGCTGCTGCATTAATTCACTGGGTTATTTCAGAAAGAATTCAAGGTAGATTACATTAAAGCATAGGATATAAAAGGATAAATTTAATGCAAGGATAAGTAAATGAGGCCACCGAGGCGAAGACAGTATGAGTGAAAGGAAGATAAGATGGAGCCAGGAGTGAGCGTTACAAGATGCTGTATGTTGGCTAGAAACAAACCTATCACGGTTCTGAGCAGCCAACATAGAGGCGGAAACATCAACAGTTACATGATCAAGTACGTCCGGAGAAAAAAAGGAAGCCTGTTGTTCAAACAGAAAAAAATTTTGAGAAATTTTTCCCTGAGTTGTCATGCAGGGGGGTGTGTATAATCACCAACGTGGGGCCACGGGAGAGCACCGAGTGGGATTTTTCTTCCTACTGAGTATTCTCAATATATCACTCTATTTTTTCTTACTTCAAAGAAATACCAATTCATTTAAGAAACAAATATAAACAGCAAGAAGAACAGGTATCATTCATAATCTCAGCATCTAGAAATAGCCACATTAACATATTACAAGTTCATTTATACCAGTGGCTTTGTCAAACTTCTTCTGTAAAAGCTCAGTTAGTAAATATTTACAGACTGTATGATCTCTAATGAAGCATCAACTCTTGCCATTGTAAGCACAAAAGCAGTCACAGAAAGCATGTAAGTGAATGGGCATAACTGTGTTCTAATAAAACTCTATTTACACAAACAGGCCACAGGCCAGACTTGGGCCTCAGCCATAGTTTTCAAAGCCCTAATTTATACCTACCTCCCCTTCCTTCCTTCCTTTCTCCCTCCTTCCTTCCCTTCCTTTAAAAAATTATTTTATAAAACTTTATTTTGAAAAGAAATATAGATTCACAGGAGGTTGCAAAGACAGTATGGAGAAGTACTTTTTTTTTTTTTGGTATAACCCTTGAGACCCTTCAAAGCTGTTACGTTTATCAACAGTTTTGCCTTTTTATCACTGAGTATTATCCATGGCGTCACAGTTTGTTTAACCATTTGCCTATTATAGGACATTTTGTTTGTACTTTTGGCTGGTTTTTGGCTATTACTAATAATGCTGCTGTGAACAGTTGTACCCGGGATCAGAGATTCACTTCTTTGCTAGGTATACGTTTCATGTGGAGAACATTGGATCAATCCTGAAGTGTCCATTGCTCAGCAAAAGAAAGAAATCTTCCTGAGAAACTTAGCATCAGATATTTCTAAAATTCAAACTTTCTGCAGTATACGTAAGATAGAGGGTAAGCGTTGGAATTATTTACCATAATATATATGGCCAAAATTAAATGCTTGATGCTGCTTTTTTAAAAAATTAAGTTTGTTTAAATAGTCATATTTCACTCCTATATCCTGCCATTTAGCTCTTTAGACAAAATTTTATATTTAACAGGATTGCATATTTTAATTCACACTACACTTTGGATGTGCAAAGAAAATGTAATTTATTTTGTCTTTAACAAATCAGCTCTTCTTTGTTTTCTGTTAAGGAAAGCATAAAGTGTCCAGTCAGGTTTAAATTTTGTCTTATCCATTAATTTATATTATTTATAATCCATTAATTATATATTTAGGGACAGATTCCAGATTTCCCAGTCGCCAGAGTCTCTCTTTCGTTCCTCTCTCAGATGGTAGGGAAGAACTTGGGGCACAGAGTCTCTTGCTTTCTCAGGCTTGGTGGCTGCCGTCCATGGCTGGGCGACTGTGTTCCATTCTTTTGGCCCAGACAGTGCTTTGGGTGGGTGATGCTTCCTGCTTCTGCTCCCTTTGGCCCCCTGAAGCCTGGCTGTGGCGGAGCTCATCTCTGAAGTCCTTATTACAGAACCCCTTCACCCCTCCTTCGCAACCACTTCTAGAAAGCTCTCCAACATGACTCTCAGCAAATCTTGGGTCATGGCTGCACCTCTCAGAAACCAGATCCAGGTTGACAGGGCTGTGCCTCAGATTGGAGTGGTGGAGGCAACTTGAGAGATGACTTGTCACAGTGTTCTGAATAATGAACAATGTCCTCAATGTTTCCTTGGCGTAGCTTAGATAGATACATGAAGTGAAGCCTGTAGGGGGAATCATGACATTCAGCGCTGATTTTCTGCCTTCCTCTATCTTCTGTCTCAAATGCCCTCAGGCCCACAAATGGTGGGTTTTTGCCAAGTTAACCTTGAGGTTAAAGCTTTGATATGATAAATGGGAGCTAACAGCATTTAGAAAAATGCTAAATCATGATAGTGTCAATCCTGTTTTACACGGCCCTTGTCTTATGGCAATATGTTGTGCTTGAGTGTCAAAACTAACTTTGTACTTTTGCTTTCCTTTGTAACATTTCTCATCAACTCATGGTCTTCCTCCTTCCATTAAGCCTGCCCCGGGAGCTAGGACAAAGGTCCTATACATAGAAAGTCAAAAGAGAAAAATCATTAATATAATTTAAAACATTTCCCTATTACATATATTGAATGCTGTACAGTAAGTTTTGTATGTATCTTTCAAGGCATTAGGGACTTCCACTGAGGAATTTGGGATCCTAGATAATGATCTAGAGACATATATCTAAATAATATGCCCATTTGAATGGTTAGAATTTATAATAATTAACATTTTTGGGAAAGACCTATCCTTTAGTACTTTTTTTTCCTCTTAGACATTTTTAAAATTGAAGGGTAATTGACTATGTTGCTATATTTGTTTCAGGTATATAACATAGTGATTTGATATTTATATACATTATGAAATGGTCACTGTAATAAGTCTAGTTACCATCTGTCACCATACAAAGTTGTTATAATATTATTGACTATATTCCCTATGCCATACATTACATCCCCATGTCTGATTTTTTTTATAACTGGAAGATTATGCCTTTTAATCCCCTTCATCTATCTCATCCATCCCTCTACCCTTCTGACAATTATCAGTTTGCTCTCTGTATCTGTGAGTCTGTTTCAGTTTTGTTTTGTTTTGTTATTTAGATGTAAGTGAAATGTATGTGAAATAATACAGTATGTGTCTTCCTCTGTCTGACTTATTTTACTTTGCAAAATACCCTCGAGTTACCTCCATGTTGACACAAATAGCAAGATTTCATTTTTTATGACCGCATAATATTCCATTATCTATATAGCACTTCTTTATCCATTCATCTGTTGATGGACACTTAGACTGTTTCCATATCTTGGCTATTGTAAATAATGTTGTGATGGACATAGGGGTGCATATGTCTTTTCAAATTAGTGTTTTCATTTTCTTTGGATGAATACCTAGAAGGAGAATTGCTGGATCATATGGTAGTTCTATTTTTAATTTTTTGAGAAGCTGCCATACTGTTTTCTGTAGTGGGTACACCAATTGTACATTACCAACTAGGTGCACTAGGGCTCCATTTTCTCAACATCTTTTGCTTTTGTTTTTTTTGTTAGTAGACATTCTGACAGGTGTGAGGTGATATCTCACTATGATTCTGATTTGATTTGATTTGCATTTCCCTGATGCTTAGTGATGCTGAGCATCTTTTCATGTGTAGGTTGACCATCTGTATGTCGTCTCTGGAAGAATGTCTTTTCAGGTCCTCTGCCCATTTTTTAATCAGATTGTTTTTAGATATTGAATTTTATGAGTTCTTTGTATACTTTAGATGTAACCCCTACTTTTAGTACTTTTGACTGCAAATATCTTGGGGGGAAAGAATCTACAGAAAATTAAGTGAAATCCAATTTATTAAAGAGCAACTATCAATTACGCTTAGAATGTGTTCTCTTAGACCAAATAGCTGAAAATTTTCTGCGTTCTTATTTTAACATGTGTTTTCAAATTCCTAGTGTTCTGCAATCATAACTAATACGTCTTTGCAATTTGCGCATTTCTGCTCAGCTCTTGTTTTAGAAGTCCAAAGTGACATCGTGTCTGGAGCCAAGCTTGCTGTGCATAAGCCTGTGGCAATTTTTGGAGAAGAGAAGCAAATGATAGGACCAAAGGAAAAGCAAATGCAAAAAAATGCTTTAACAACGGAAAAGGCTTCCAGTGAAATTCTGTAAGTGATCGTCATGGCCAGGAAAACTACCTGGTTCCTATTTGAACTCAGCTCATTAGCTCAATAACAGCACAGAGCCCATGCAGGGAACCCACACCACATTCGTGATATGGATGTCAGGTGAAGAGCTAGTATTTAATTAGTTTTCTGGCAAAAAGATCAATCTGGAGCTTCAATGTTCAGCCATCACAATGATCTACTTTCAGTAATTTCATTATTATACTACTATTTTTAAAAGACTAGAATTTTGGAATTGCAAATTATTCAAGGAATCCATCATGTTTTGTTTCCATTGATGTTGACTCCAGGAAAATTAAATTAATACAGGTTCAAGCTGGATGCATATTAACATACAGTCGTCATCCTGGGTCACTGAAGTGGTTTCCGGGTTGGTGTCTCTCTCTCAATTTTCTCCTCCTTCCAATTCACCTTGAAGTTCCATCTACAGACAATTATCTTTCTAAAACATAATCTTTTTATACAGTTCTTCAGTGGCTACCTACTGCAGAGAGAAAAAACATTTAGTCTGTAATCCCAAGCCCTTCTGACCTGAGTCCGGGCCTGTCACTGACCCTCATTTGCACCCCCACGCCCACCTCCACTCCACACTTTTTCTTCCTGACACATGAACTAAGCTCTAGCTCGGCGGCAACAAGCTGTGGCTGAATGTGGCATATTCCGTCTATGCACCATTGCAGGCCTCTGAGCCACTTACGTGTTTCTCTCTGCCTGAAGTGCCTTGACCTGCCCGGTACTCATGTGTGGAATGATTCTTCATCATTGAAATCAGTCATGGTAATCATTGTACGTAGGGCTGTGCTTATCAGTCCTCCCGCACCTTGCCC